ACTTCGGTATATCGTTTTAATCTGGGGTAAGTTTGGCATGGTCCTTTTGCTAGCAATCCATTCCAGGTAAGAGCCATTTATTCGATTTTTATTTTATTTATTTTATTTTTTTTATATTTTATTGATTTTTTACAGAGAGGAAGGGAGAGAGATAGAGAGTTAGAAACATCATTGAGAGAGAAACATCGATCAGCTGCCTCCTGCACATCTCCTACTGGGGATGTGCCCGCAACCCAGGTACATGCCCTTGACCGGAATCGAACCTGGGACCCTTCAGTCTGCAGGCTGACGCTCTATCCACTGAGCCAAACCAGTTCCGGCCATTTATTCGATTTTTAAAAAAATACATATTTTTATTGATTTCAGAGAGGAAGGGAGAGGGAGAGAGAGATAGAAACGTCAATGATGAGAGAGAATCATAGATGGACTACCTCCTGCACGCCCCCTGCTGAGGATCGAGCCCGAAACCCGGGCATGTGCCCTTGACATGAATCGAACCTGGGACCCTTCAGTCCGAAGGCCGGCGCTCTATCCACTGAGCCACACCGGCTAGGGCCAAGCTGGTTTCTTAATGAAAGTCAGTATATATCGAAGTTAAATATCACACCTTGTTTTCACCAGTAATAACGTGTGTGCTTCAGAGGGAAGTCACTATCTGGAAGAATCCTGTGGGTTTAGGGGGGCAGCAAGGGGAGGGGGGTTGAGGGAGAGAAAGAACCTATGAATGAATCAACATAGAAATAGTAAAAGGTTCCGATCCTTGGGGAGGAAGGAGAAACATAACAAAACCCCGATGCGCCATATTTTACCCGTTATGTCTGCTGAGAAATTAGGGTCAGGACCCAGAAACTTTGCTGTGTCTCGGGGTGTTTGTCTCGGCGCAGGTGGGGCGGGCCTCTGCTTTGATGGGTCATTTCCTTTTCTCCCTTCACATTCCAGGCGGCATTAAGATGACAAATTTCACTCACAGGCTCGTGCAAACCTGAGCCATTGAGCTAAGAGAGTGAGTGCAGAGGAGTCCATTTATCGTGGGGAGGGGGAGAGGGCGTTTGAAGACCACAAAGGCATCGGCGAGCTGGGCTCTGTCCCGCGGCTCACACGGGCTGGCCGGACGGCTCTAAGCTTCATCGCAGCTCTCCAGGGTGGAAGAGAAGTGTTCAATTAATTAAGGAACTTTTTAAAAAGCCCGTGCACATATCCCAGAATGCGTCGGGAGCAGATGAAACTTTAATTTAGACACGAGAGGCCCTGATGCACGAAATTCGTGCAAGGGGCTCGCCTGGTCTAATTAGCATATTACGCTTTTATTATTATAGATAACCTTAGAGTGGGCAGGAGTATTTAGGGTGAAATACGCAGAATAAAGGTGTGATTTTTTTAATTCCTCACCCGAGGATGTTTTTCCATTGATTTTTAGAGAGAGTGGAAGAGAGAGGGAAAGACAGAGAAATATCAATGAGCGAGAAACACATCGATTGGTTGCCTCCTGTACAAGCCTCGTCCACCAGGGCCTGGACTGGGGAGGAGCCTGCAACCGAGGTACATGCCTTTGACCAGATTCAAACCGGGGACCCTTTGGTCTGCAGGCCGACACTCTATCCACTGAGCAACACCGGCTGGGGCAAGGTTTTATGCTCCTCTCTCTCTCTCTGAGCTGTGCAATGCATACGGCTCCTTTCCTAGCCTGCCTTTAGTAAGAGGGGAAGGAAAAAAAAATCTTGGACAGCACAGTGCGAGTCCGTCACATCCAACATGAATGCGTTACAGACCGAAATGTTCAAAGTCCGACCGAGAGAGATAAAGGCTTTGATGGAAAGTGGATATTTCCCAGGGACGTGGCGAGCAATAATCCAGATGTTACGCTGTAATGCAGCGGGTGTCCGCAGCCGGGCCGGGCCGGGAGCCCCAGCCAAGCCGCGCCCGCCGGAGGCCTGCTCCGCGCCCTCCCAGGCTGTCCCGCCAGATGGAACCTCTCTCCGGGCCCCCTTGACGACCGGCTTTGGGCCCCCTTTTCACAGAGCTCATCGAGCTAAGTGGGGCTGCTTTCTGGACAAGTTAGATAGAAGCCCTTCCAAGATAAACAACCCATTTGAAACTAGGACATACCAAGCCCCAGAATTATTTTAAGGGCATATTTCATGGGAGCGCGGCCATTTTTCTTCGGCGGTTGCCAGACTGGAGGGATGCCCTTTGATCTCCGGTGGACATGCCTCCCTTCTTTAGAAAAAGGATTTTGAAATAGCTTCAGTGTTTAGGGAGGAATCTATCTGTCCGGGCTTTGAAGCATGGCCACGGGACAGGTCATGCATTAGCGTGCTGGTTGGCAAGTCAGAGTTGCAGAAGAAAAACACACGCAAAACAGGAAATGGCCGCGGGAGGGATGAATCATAATCTCGTTTCCTTTGTAAAGGGAGAAGCCTGCGGCCCGCGTGCTTAATAAGCTCTAACATGTACTCAGTGCCGCTACATCTGTACGGACACCTATAGGCGTATAAACACATAGACTTAGATGTTTATATACGTGTCTGTCTGTCTAGAGATTGTGATGGTGTTTGTGGTTCTTAACAAGGAGAAAATTGCTGCCCTAGCCTGTTTGGCTCAGTGGGTAGAGCATCGGTCTGTGGACTGAAGGGTCCTGGGTTCGATTCCGGTCAAGGGCACATGCCCGGGTTTCAGGCTCGATCTCCAGGAGGGGGCGTGCAGGAGGCAGCCGATCAATGATTCTCTCTCATCATTGATATTTCTATCTATCTCACTCTCTCCATTCCTCTCTGACATCAATAAAAACATATATTTTTTAAAAAATATGCTTAGCTTTTAACTATTTTATCAACTTAGCTTTTAGCTATTTTATCAACTTTCATTCTGGAGTATATTCGATCCACAACCCAAGGGCAGATAGAAGTTACCAAAGGTTTATGTTCTCCAGCGGAGAGGGATTTTTCTCCTCTTTAAAATTAATTCTTTTCTTGTCTGCCCTCCCTTCTCTGTCTCAGCACCTCCAAAAGCCTTGCGTGTGTGTGTGTGTGTATGTGTGTATGTGTTTGTGCACGCACGTGTGTGTGTACGCATGTGTGTGCATTTTATGAGAACAGCGATATGGATATGAAGTTGGGAGAATAGATTCTCTCAGTGCTTAAGGTGGTTATAAAATGATCAGCCGAATGCTTGGTGTGGCCTCGTTGCCGGATACGGTAAGCTGGTCTGTAATTAATACGGCCCTGATGTACCACTTGTTTTGATAAATTGTGACGAACTGGTGTCCCAGCAAATTGGTGCCTAAACGACCTGGAAGATCTATAGAGCCGGTGACAGGATGAATCTATAGCGTTAGAAATTCATTGCTTTCCTATGATACTCGGCGCCATCTACATCCCTCAGTCCATTTATTTCTCCTTCAGAGAAAGCCGTGTGTACCTGCGCCACTTCATTTATTGAACGGGGAGCATAAATGAACTCCACCAACTAAATGCGGAGTGTGGGTCGCGTTGGGATCCGCATCCAAACCAACTAAAGGCAAAAAATACATGATTGAGACCGTCAGGGAATGTGAAGAGGCTCTGGGTACTTAACGATATGAAGGGAATTATGGCTGCTTTTGTGAGCATCGTGCTTATAGATAAGCAAACGTGGGCCCTAGCTGGTGTGGCTCAGTGGATAGAGCAGCGGCCTGCGGACTGAAAGATCCCAGGATCAAGTCCGGTCAAGGGCACATGCCTGGGTTTCGGGCTTGATCCCCACTAGGGGGCGTGCAGGAGGCAGCCCATCTATGATTCTCTCTCATCATTGCTGTTTCTATCTTTCTCCCTCTCCCTCTCTGAAATCAATAAAAATATATTTTTAAAAAAAAACAACAAAAAACACACAAATGTGGAATTTGCTTTCCAGGATTTCAGCCAGAAGCGAGTAGTGAAGGGATAGATGAAATAAGATTAGCAAATCGTTGACCCTGGTAAATAGATCCGTGGAGATTTCATATACCGTTTTACCTTTGTATATGTTTGGAAACTCACATAATGGAAATTAAAGTGTGCTTGTCCACTTGGTAATTTACTAGTAGGGGATGTTTGCCCTTTTTCTATATTTGGTTTAAGGCGTGTATGAGTGGGCGTGAGTAACATCATTTAGAAGAGAAACAAAATAAGCTAATAGTCACTGAACTGTCCTGGGTTCCAGGCCCTGTGCTAAGTCCTCTATACATTATTTCCTCTCCCTCCCCCACCCCCCCATCTGCAAAGCTCATCTGGCTGGCCAATCCCAGGCTCTGTCTGGACTTATGAATCTCACAAGGGCATGAGCTTTTTAGTAGTCGCCCAAGGAACAAAGGGGAGTGGGGACAGATTCAAGTACGAAGGATAAATTCAAAAACCACTATTTCTGCTAGGCTGGTGTGGCTCAGTGGTTGAGCAACAACCTAGGAACCAGGAGGTCATGGTTCTGTTCCCTGTCAGGGCACAGGCCCGGGTTGCGGGCTCGATCCCCAGTAGGGGGCGTGCAGGAGGCAGCTGATCAATGATTCTCATCATTGATCTTTCTCTCTCTTTCTCTCTCCTTCTCTTTTGTTCTCTGAAATATACATATTTAAAAAAACACACACCACTATATCTGAATGCCCATAGATATTTCATTTCCCTGCAAAGCAATGCCTTGTTCTCACACCTCTGTTTCCCAGAATGCCTCTCTCCCCTTCCTATTATTAAAATAGCCAAAGGCCCAGGTGACGGAAGCGTACCCAAGAGCTGGGTGGGAGGACAGTCCAGTGCCAAAGACCAGTGTCGCTCACACTCATCTCTCCCTGTCTCGCTACGAGCCCAGGGCTGGAGAAGGAGATCCCGTAACTGTGACTGCAGGTTTGCACAACGAGTGAGGAGTAACAGCGCTTTCTCCAGGCAGGCGTGCTCCGTGTCATCGAATACTGACAGCGGGAGCGCCTGTGACCGCCAGCGTCGCACTCAGGAATCACCAGCGAGCTCATCTCTCCTCTCTGCTTTCTGCTCTAGTCCTCGTTGATCCGCAACCTCCGGCTCTCAGAGGCCTTGAGGAAGAACCAGCTCTGGAACGGCATCATAAGCATCGCGTTGCTGGAAGGAAAGAACGTGCCGGTGGGAAACGTGGCAGAGATGTTCGTCCTGTTAAAACTGGGGGATCAGAGGTACAAAAGCAAGGTGAGTTGGCCGTTCCTGAAGGAGAACAACATCTTCAGAAAGATTTTTTTTTTCTTTTGAAAAAAATGGTTTCCCCACGCTCCATGTCTACAAGAATAGAAGTCATTTCCTTTTAACCCTCTTGACCAGTGGTTCTCAACCTTCTGGCCCCTTAAATGCAGTTCCTCATGTTGTGACCCAAACATAAAATGATTTTCGTGGCTACTTCATCACTGTCATGTTGCTCCTGTGATGAATCGTCATGTAAATATCTGATATGCAGGATGGTCTTAGGCGACCCCCGGGAAAGGGTCGTTCGACCGCCAAAGGGCTCGCGACCCACAGGTTGAGAACCGCTGCGTCTTGACTATGTTCGGATTATTCCAGAAAGCAAAATAACGGTACAGATGCAGTCAATTAGTAGGAGTATTTGCTGAGTTTAGTTCCATCCAGTAACTAGAGCTGCAGAAAGCTCATTAAATAATAGTTTTGAATGCATGATTTATTGTGTTTTGAAAATAAGCAAAAACCGTGTTTCCTAGAATGCGGGAAAAGGATAACTAAACGCTTTCAAACTGTAACAAAAATAAACGAGTAATATATGTTGTACTTGGGTTACAGTATTTGCGATAACTAAAAGTATTTTCAAAATTATATACAATATTCTTTTTCTTGTTAGTATTTACACCAAAAATAGACTTTGAGTGCTGCTGGGTTTTTTTGGTGTTTTTTTTGCTATGATTTAAAAAAACACACCAAACTATCTAACGTATTAAAAGTGATTTGTTATGAACAAAAATCCTGGCATTTTTAGCTGCCTTTCCAAACCAGTCATCTGATTCTGTTGATCCGAATTCCATTTAATTTTTAATCTTACTAATTTGGTGTGGTTTCTATTTCAAAAACCGTAGTCTCCAAACCATGGTAATTAATTAGTTTTACATAAGTGTCAGACAGGAGTCTGTTCTATGTTTTATGGATGGAGGGAAGCGGGGTGCTTGAACGTTTAGCCCCTTGCCAAAAGCCACATCATAAAAAAAACATCAGGGGAAGGTTTTCAAAAACAGGATATTTGCAGATCGGCCTCTGCCGCGTGGAAGGCATAACAGACGCAGACAAGTTGGCAAATGCTGTAGGAGGCCAGAGTTTGTCTCTGCTGAACAAATTTCAGCGCGAAATCAAACACGAAGCGTCATTTCCACCGGGACAAGGACTAGAGAATCGAAGCTCACGTTGACAAATCAGTTTATTAAAAAAATGTGAAAAATCGAGGGCGGGTTCCAGCAGAAATAGGCAGATGTTATTCGCCAGGTAGTCCGAGGCCGTACCTCCCAGAGACTGTATCCAGGGTAACCACATCTCTGGCTGAGATCCCTTTAGCCTGCCGTGGCCGGGCGAAGGATTTATAGAAAAATTATTCATCTCGGGGCACACTTAGCCCTTTTGAGCTAAGATGAAGTGGAGAATTAGTCCGATATCTGCTCTGTCCCCTCTTGGGGGATATTGCATTTAATTTGTGGTCTAATAGTTTCTTTTTTTTCCCTTCGTGGTTGCTAAATTCTGTGACCTGGCATATTAAGTCCAATGTGACCAATAGCTTAAATGATGTTACGTGATGTGATGCTGGCTACAGCCAGGGCTGGCTGGTCCCTGTTTGCCCATGCGGTACTAGCGGGCACTCAGATTTAATAGTGGATGCTGTGCCCTTCGTTAAGGCTGGTACTCAGGGACCAGCATTCCTGCCCGCTTTTTAGCCACAAATTGAATCTCTATGTAAATGAAACAGAAGAGACAAACCCTGCCAGGGATTCAGACACTCGGGCCGTTTGGAGTCCCGCTCGGAAAACACAGAAACGCTGCGGAGTTTCAAACCACCCTCGTTCATATTCAAATGTGGTGGCAGTGGGGTTTGCTAGTCTCTCTCTCTCCCTCTAGGGCAGCGGTTCTCAACCTGTGGGTCTCGACCCCTTTGGCGGCCGAACGACCCTTTCACAGGGGTCGCCTAAGACCATCCTGCATATCAGATATTTACATGACGATTCATAACAGGAGCAACATGACAGTGATGAAGTAGCCACGAAAATAATGTTATGGTTGGGTCACAACATGAGGAACTGTATTTAAAGGGCCAGAAGGTTGAGAACCACTGCTCTGGGGACTGGAATCAGCAAACTGGGATTTAAAAAAACAGGCAGCGATGAACTGAACTCATGGGTTTCTTGTGAAATGCAGCTGACAGATAGTAATCAGGACCCCATACTGTTCATTTATATGGTTCTTGAGCCAGTGCTTAGTGGATGTGCCAATAAAATGATTTCATGAACCAATGAATATATTTCCTGTAACACTGGACAGCTGTAAAACATCCATTGAGATATGTCATATAAATGTATATATCTATATATATAAAAGTGTAAGCGACCATCCAACTGGTAGCTTTGACACGCAATGACCACTAGGGGGCAGACGCTCAGTGCAGAAGCTGCCGAAATTCGGTGACTTGGCAGCTGCAGTTCTCTGGTGATGCTCTCAGAACTAGAGAGGAGGGAGCCCGATTCCAGGGTACATCACCCAAGAACCTCCCTCTCTCAATCCAGGACCTCTTGGGGGGATGTCAGAGAGCCGGTTTTGGCCCGATTCCCGCAGGCCTGGCTGAGGTACCCCACCGGTGCATGAATCTGTGCACCGGGCCTCTAGTATATATATAAAAGTTATGGTTTCTCGTGGGGTAACTATTCTTTCTAACTTGGTGGGATCCACTATTGAATCTAGGGGTCGGCTAAAAGAGTGGTGATGTTGTTGCCAATAACCCAAGACCTCCAAGTCCCTTTCCTTCCCCCAAGGGGAAAAGTTTAACTTGGAAAGGGACAGACAGGCACGTCACCCCGAGCTCCTGCCCCTGCCGTTTAGAACAATGAATTGAAATGTGTAGCTGCTGTGGCGACGCAAGGCAGTGCGAAGACAATAAACGTTGTAACCGCATGTTTTCTAGACACTGTGTAAGAGTGCACATCCGCAGTGGCGGGAAGAGTTTGACTTTCACTACTTCTCTGACAGGATGGGCATCTTGGACATTGAGGTCTGGGGAAAGGACGGCAAAAAGCACGAGGAGCGACTGGGCACGTGAGTCCGCTCTGCTTTCTCAGTGGTGGGAGCGTGCGTGGCGCCTTCTGCACGAGGCTGGTCTTTGTCTGTTGGGCTTGGGGTCAGACCTCACCTGCCCACCCCAGGGAGCCAGAAGTACGCTGGAACCTCTCCTGGGGGCAGTTTTTATTTATTTATTGGTCGGTGGTATTTAGTATTTTTTTTTGAATTTTTTTATTGATTTCAGAGAGGAAGGGAGAGAAAGAGATAGGAAATGTCAATCTAGCTCCATTTCTTTCCCATCCTTTGTCCTATCTATATATATAAAAGCCTAATATGCAAATTATCCCCATGGGAGTTAGACTGGGAGACCGATTGCTTGCTATGACATGCCCCGAGCACCAGGGGGCAGCACAGAACGAAGGAAGGCCCCCGGCTGGCAGCTGGCAGCTGGGGAAGGGAAGGGAGGCCCTGGCCGGCAGCCAGAGGGCCCCAATCAGCCCTGATCACCAGCCAGGCCTAGGGACCCTACCCGTGCACAAATTTTGTGTACTGGGCCTCTAGTTGTCATATACATTACATCTATTTATGTTCTGAATTGAACAAGGCAGTGTTAGTTTTATGCAATCCTATGCCATTTATTTATTTAAAAATATTTTTATTGATTTCAGAGAAGAAGAGAGAAGGAGAGAGAGATAGAAACATCAATGATGAGAGAGAATCATTGATCAGCTGCTTCCTGTACTCCCCTTACTGGGGATCGAGCCCCCCCTACTGGGGCATGTGCCCTGATTGGGGAATCAAACCAACCGTGACCTCCTGGTTCATAGGTCGACGCTCAGACACCGAGCCACACAGCTGGGCAATGCCATTTACTATTGATCAAAACAGAAGAAAGTAGATCCTGCCACACTCTCAGGATATTGTGGGTCCGATTTCTAGTCTGGCCCCTTCTCCCCCTCCTTCACCTACTCGGGGTGACCGACACCTCAGACCCTTCTCATCACCCCTGACCCCGGGCACCGCTGTGACATGCCCGTGCCCTGCCAACCCCCGTCCACGGGGGGATCAGAAACGCTGTGCTAGCCCCGGGCAAGGACCCGTTACGTCAGCGAGCCGCAGAGCACTCTGTGTCCCGACCTGTCCTCCGAGTGGTGGGAACGTGGCCCTCGGTGATGAACGGCCGGCCTGCTGTGTCGGTACAAAGAGCAGTACCCTCTCGCCCCGTGCATTGTGCTGTCACGGCTGCCCCCCGTCATAGGAAGTGCTTTTCCCATGAGTGTGAGGTGTCTTCAGACAGAAACGCTAGTTTCCGATGTTCCTTTCACGCCGTGTGCTGTCACTCGGGTGTTTATTTATGACTTCTTGTTTGTGTGCCTGTGCTAGTGGCCGTTCTGTCCTTTCTTTTTATGGATTTTATGGATTTTGAAGGATTTTTTTTTGGTATCTTTTTCCTTTTTCCTCTCCCGCAGTCAAAGAGATCACAAAAGTGTCTCTCGGGAGCCGGTTACAGGACATTAGCTGCAGCGAACCTCCGAGTGGGGTGAGACGTACCCTGAAACGCAGACGGATCCTCAGAGTTAATGGGGAGATGGTGCGAGCGTGTACATACCACACACACGCTCCTTACAGTTTTTTATTTTACATTTTTCACTTATTTTTTTTTCATTTTCTTTTCTTTTTTGTTGTCATTCCAGTTATCTGACCTCCCAAATGTTGGGAAATACCTTTTTGCATCAGGAGTCCCTTTGACAGTGAGAGTCAGTCATAACGGTCTCCTGAGTCTTCTCTGTTGCTTTTTAAAAATATATATATAAAAATCCTCACTTGCCTTAGCCGGTTTGGCTCAGTGGATAGAGCGTCGGCCTGCGGACTGGAGGGCCCCAGGTTCAATCCAGTCAAGGGCACATGTCCGGGTTGTGGGCTCGATCCCCGGTGGGGGGTGTGCAGGAGGCAGCCGATCCTGATTCTCTCTCATCATTGATGTTTCTATCTCTCTCCCTGTCTCCCTTCTTCTCTGAAATCAATAAAAATATATATTTTATAAAAATCCTCAGCTGATGATATGTTTTCCCATTGATGTTTAGAGAGAGTGAAAGGGAGGGGGAGGAGGAGGAAGAGAAAAAAACATCAATGTGAAAGAGACACATCAATTGGTTGCCTCTTGCACGCACCCCAACCGTGGGGCAGGGATGGAACCTGCAACCCAGGAGTAGGTTGACCTTGACCTATGCCCTTGACCGGGAATCAAACCGTGACCTCCTGGTTTCATAGGTCGACGCTCAACCACTGAGTAACACCGGCCAGTCTAACCTGCTCCAACTTTTAAACAAAATGGCAAGAATATAGATTCTAGACTCTCCCATTTTAAACCAATTGTTCAAAATAATCGTGTTCTTGACACATATTTTACATTTCAAGGCGATTGTAGAGATGAACTCGTTACGGAATCTTCTAGACTTACTTTTGCTTGGACCACTTAAGAATGAGGATGCTGGAGCCTTGGCTGCCTCTGAGTCCCACAGGGTGACTTCAAAGAGGCCCTGACATTCCACCAGTTTATCAGTGGAGAATCAGGGATGGAATATTTCCCTGGACAAATGGCACCCATGTCGTCGACCTGCTTTTAAAGCCACACTTGACACATGCCGCGTTTTCCTCCTGTTCACCGCCCCCCCCCCCTGCCCCCTTCCTTAGCCTCTGAGATTTACGGCTTCGAAAACTACAGCTCTCTTTCCTGCCCCTTGCATTTAAGTTAAAAGCTGGCCAGCCTGAAATATAAAACATAGAATTATGGTAATGAGTGAGAGGTTAAAAGCTATCATGGCAAGGGACACTTGAGCAGGTTGGGCTGACGGGTACGGTAAAATTATGTGTGGAATTAAAACAATAAAATGCGGTGGGATTAATGGAGAAAGGCGTGCGCAGGAGGTCAGAAACAATGCTATATCAGCACATTAACTGGCTGTGGGCCGCAGAGCATAGCTTTAATGTATGCCTGCTGCTAAGAAAAAAATAAGTGATTTAGCCTTGTTTTCTTTAGATGAATAAAACCATGGGCTTTTCAATGTGGGAGGGGCCTATATTCCTTTCTTTATGTGTAGACTAATATATATATTTTAATTGATTTCAGAGAGGAAGGGAGAGGGGGAGAGAGAGAGAGAGAGAGAGAGAGAGAGAAACATCAATGATGAGAATCACTGATCAGCTGCCTCCTGCACGCCCCCTACTGGAGACCGAGCCCACAACCGGGGCATGTGCGCTGACTTGGAATTGAACCATGACCTCCTGATTCATGGGTCGTCACTCAACCATTGAGCCACACTGGCCAGGCCTGGAGCTGTTATTGACTAAATATTCTAAGATCTGACTTCTGAATGATTGTCTAAACAGGTCCTCCCCTCCCTCCTTCCCTCCCTCCCTGCCTCCACCCTCACCTCAACCCCACCCCCACCCCGCAGCCCTTCTAAGCATCAACAAAGCAGATGTGGTCCAGGCAAACCCAGAGTTCTCAGTGTTAAAGCAAATAAGCGCTTAGCACTCAGCCCCCCTCTTGGTGTTTGCTTCCGTATTTAAATGTGCTTGAGGTTTTCAACAGCCCAGAACATTGGCTGTGAAGAGGCGGAAACATGCAATTTATAGCAGATGGGGCCAGCTCTCGCGAGCCGCGCGGCTGAAGTGGGATCCATCAGCAGCACTTCATGCTCCATTTGTCCAGAAGGAGACCCGCCCGGGGAAGCCCCGTGGAACCCGCCTGTTAGGAAAGCACCTTAACACGCTGGTGCGAATAAAAACGCGCCCGCCCGCTGGCATTCAGCCGGAAGAAAATGTTTTTTTCATTAACCCTGTCCCACTGACGCGTCTCTGGTCTTTTCTAAATTGTTTTTGAACCCTTTATTCTCTTTGCTGGGAAAAGACACGGTGCAGAAAAGCCACATAGAGCCATGATACTTAAACTTGTAAAGTCCTTTTCCCCTAATTCTCTTCTTTTAAAATTTTTTTTTTTATTTCAGAGAGGAGGGGAGAGGGAGAGAGAGAGAGAAACATCAGTGATGAGAGAATCATGGATCGGCTGCCTCCTGCACACCCCACACTGGGGATGGAGCCTGCAACCCAGGCATGTGCCCTGACCGGGAATCGAACCGTGACCTCCTGTATCAAAGGTCGATGCTCAACCACTGAGCCATGCAGACCGGGCTCTCCCTAATTCTTGACCTCATTGTCTTCCTGCAGACCTTATTGGGCAAGGATCTGACTCCTCTTTTCCATTTGCCATTCCATTCCTTATCTTTCCTCTCCTACACTTTATTTATTTTTTAAAAAAATATTTTTATTGATTTCAGAGAGGAAAGGAGAGGGAGAGAGAGAGAAACATCAATGATGAGAGAGAAACACTCATCAGCTGTCTGCCTCCTGCACGCCCCCTACTGGGGATGGAGCCTGCAACCCGGGCATGTGCCCTGACCGGGAATCGAACAGTGACCTCCTGGTTCATGGGTCGACGCTCCACCACTGAGCCACACTGGCCGGGCTCCTCTCCTTCATTTTAAAGTGTGTTGGGCTAGGAGTGAGTGTTCTATGCCAGAGGAGCCCTCTCGACCTTCCCTGCCCAGGAAACCCAGGCCCAGTAGAATGTGGTTCGGGTAATAAGTAAACATGGGTTCTTTGGAGGCTCCCAAGTGGCCATGAGCTAGCTCCTCACTCTCCTCTCTCCGGTTTCCGCTTTTGCAGATGTAAAGTGGACATCGCCTCGCTCCCACTCAAGCAAGCCAACTGCTTGGAGCTGCCCCTGGACAGCTGCCTGGGCGCCCTCCTGGTGCTGATCACGCTGACGCCCTGCGGGGGGGTCTCCGTGTCCGACCCGTGTGTGTGCCCCTTGGCGGACCCCAGCGAGAGGAAGCAGATCAGCCAGCGCTATGTGAGTGCTTTGCCCCGCGACACCGTTCCGGACACACCCGCACTTTTTAAAAAATGTTTTTATTGATTTCAGAGAAGAAGGGAGAGAGGGGATAGAAACATCCGTGATGAGAGAGAATCATGGACGGGCTGCCTCCTGCACGCCCAGTACTGGGGATGGAGCCCGCAACCCGGGCATGTGCCCTTGACCAGGAATCGAACCGTGACCTCCTGGCTCATGGGTTGATGCTCAACCATGGAGCCACGCCAGCCGGGCAACCCACCCCCACGTTTAAGTCGCACCAAAGTCCATGAACTGAGAAACTGCGTAGAAAGAGATCTTTGTCCAAAGTTTAATGGTGTGTCCCGTCAAACAAGACATCAGACCTAGAGGTTAATGTGTTTGTGAGAAGGTGGAAGCAGATTAGAATTTACCCTCCTGTTATTCTACGGGGCAACGAACGGATTTTGAATTTGTAGCTTTTAGGAAGTCTTTGGAGAAAATTGAAGTCCTCAAGTAGACAAACTACTGTTTAGCACAGGGGTCCTCAAACTTTTTAAACAGGGGGCCAGTTCACTGTCCCTCAGACCGTTGGAGGGCCGGACTATAGTTTAAAAAAAAAACTATGAACAAATTCCTATGCACACTGCACATATCTTATTTTGAAGTAAAAAAACAAAATGGGAACAAATACAGTATTTGTATTTGCATGTGGCCGTGGTTTGAGGACCCCTGGTTTAGCAGGTCTGTGCAGGTGTATGGGAATTTTAATACACGTTCATCACAAAACAGCTATTTTTTTAAGCGACTATTCATGGTCACAGTGTTATAGATACTTTTCCAGAACCTTCTAGATGCAAGTGAGTCAGTGCTTGTGTCTTACCAAACCAAGCCCTTCACAGGCAGGGAGGAGTGATGTGCTACCCGACCCGGGGTAATATTGGCATCTGAGAATTTTGTCTAAGTCATTGCGATGTGCTTAGAAGTCCCCGCAGCGCTTTTAAATCAGACGGCTCTGTCCTCTTCATCCATTGTTTTCTCCTCTGGCTTTCTCGGTGTCTTTATTTGCATTCCATTTTTATCTCATCTTCTGTGCAAATCAATATGTTTGTTGCCACCCACGAAAGACACGCTTTAGGAAAGTGGCATAAAAATGAAGCAAAGACGAATCTTTATTTAATGGGAATATTATTCTCGGCATCAACTTCAGTGCCTCCCATCCCTTCCCCGGGCAGGTGTATTGATTAATTGAAAAATTCTCCGTCTTCGGGAGTACAACACCGATGGCCACACATCTTATTGTTAACACGCATTCTGCAGGCAAGGTTGGCGTCCTCCAAAGACGTTTCGACACAATCCACTGTTCATATTTTTTTCGGATGGCTTTAGGTAAACAAGTGAAGGATTGGTGATGAAAAATAAAACTTCCCTCCAATTTTCCCATGGATAACTTGGAAATTTTACCAAATTCATGAGGTGTGTCATGTATGTGTAAGGTGGCACTAGACGAGATCATAATGACTGCTGTAAGTAATGCCTCAGGATTTCCAGAGTACTAATTGAAAAGAGATTTGAGAAGGCTGATCAAGAGAGATACAGTATTTATTTTTAATTTTTTTGGTTTATATATTTCTTTATTGATTTCAGAGAGGGAGGGAGAGGGAGAGAGAGATAGAAACATCAGTGATGAGAGAGAATCACAGATCGGCTGCCTCCTGCATGCCCCCAAATGGGGATCGAGCTCGTAACCCAGGCATGTGCTCTTGGCTGGAATCGAACCTTGGACCCTTCAGTCCGCAGGCTGACACTCTATCCACTAAGCCAAACCGTCTAGGACTAAATTTTTTTTTTTTTAGTTAGCCGCTTCATAATAAAAGTTTCATAATAATTAAGATTTGCTTAACCTAACATGCACTGTTGCTAAGAACTTTCTAAAGCTGTTTCTGATCTGCATCAGAAAAGAATGCTATATTACAAGACACGAGTTTCAGACACCTGGATTTAAAAATAAAATGTTTTTATTTATTTTAGAGAGAGAGGAAGGAAGAGGTATAGAAAGATAAAAACATCGATGAAGAGAAACATCATTGATTAGCTGCCTCCTGCACGCCCCCTACTGGGGATCAAACCCGCAACCCCAGGCATGTGCCTTGACTGGGAATCGAACCAGTGCCTCTTGGTTCATGGGTCAGTGCTCAACCACTGAGCCACACTGGCTGGGCTGGGCTGGGCTGGATTTGTTTTTTAGGTAATCAGAATAGACAGTCTTCAAAGTTGAAAAGTATTTCACTTAATATGTTTTCATTTAAGCTTAAACGCTAGTCTTTTTTTTTCTTTTCTTATTTTTTAGGTTGGAAATGCAGATCAGAAACAGCCTTAGAAAGTTCTTAGCAACAGTGCATGTTAGGTTAAGCAAACCTTAATTATTATGAAGCTTTTATTATTCTACCCTGAAATGCTTCAATGACAAGGATTTTTTTTTTAATCCTGCCATGAGCCCCCGGGGTCAACTTATCACAGGTTTTTAGTTAGTTGATGATGGCACAAATACTATATCCAAAGGTTTGAAAGTGCCATGGTGTTCAGCGAGTGTGTGCTGAAAGCATTCGAATGATTTTATCTGCTTATATCTCTTTGAAACTCAAGTTTTGAAGGACGTAATGTACATAGACTTCTGAATATTGGCTGTATACATGCTTAAGAATTAGACGGTATATTGGATAGATATTTACTTACTGCCGTATATCAGTAGATATACCAGGTGGGCCAACATAGGTTAACAGTTGTTTATATTGAAACTACTACAATAATGAATGAATTATAATGCAAGAATAAACTATATGTTTCGCATCCTCACAACGATAAACCTACTTTTGCCCCACCCTGTGTGGAAGTCTCGGCAAACAAAAATTAGCATAAATGCAAATGTTAAATGCAAATGCAAATCTGATGCTGGATGCTCCATCTCCAATGGAATGAATGGCTAAAGCGTGGACCAGAAAATTCACTCTCCAACTGCATCCTCCTCTCTTCCCCGCGGTAATGAGCATCCACGGAGGGTCCACGTGGCGTCCTCTGGTTCTCCATAAAGTTCGCACCAACGAGGTCAGAATAATGGTGCCTTCCCCGGTGATTGAAAAGTTTCATGACAGCGAAAGACGGAGACAAGAATGACTGCCGCTCCACACGCATCTTCCCGGCGGGATGCCTGGGCTGTCGCCACGGGGCCGTGTTAAAAGTCGATTGTCTGTGTGTGTAATGTGTTCATTTCGGAGCCGGAGTTAATTAACTCTCAGGCACTTGTCATCTGGTTGCTGTCGATGCCTCAGTGTCCCGGTGACGGATACGGTGCACCGTGCAAGGTTTCCCGGCGGTTGCGTGAGAAAGGCCGCGATCCCTGGAGAAAGCTTTTCCTGGAGGGCGCTGTGGCATGAGGGGGTAGGAGAAAGCTGCTTCATCTGTGATCCACGTGTGTGTTTTGTGTGTTTTTCCCCCTCAGTGCTTGCAGAACTCCCTGAAAGACATGAAGGACATCGGCATTTTACAAGTGAAGGTTTTAAAGGCTGTGGACCTCTTAGCTGCTGATTTCTCAGGTAGGAATCATTTTCATGAACTTTTATTTATTTATTTATATATATATAGTTTATTGATTTTTTACAGAGAGGAAGGGAGAGGGTTAGAGAGTTAGAAACATCGATGAGAGAGAAACATCGATCAGCTGCCTCCTGCACACCCCCCACTGGGGATGTGCCCGCAACCAAGGTACATGCCCTTGACCGGAATCGAACCCGGGACCCTCATTCCGCAGGCCGACGCTCTATCCACTGAGCCAAACCGGTTAGGGCTGCATTTTTATTTTTATTTATCGCCCTCATTGACGTCATCTATGGCAAAGCAAAATCCTGCATAATAAAGAGCTAATATGCTAATTAGACCAAACAGCAGAATGACTGTCCGGACGACCTTCCGGATGAAGCCGGGGCTTGAGGGCCAAGCCCCTTGCATGATTTTCATGCCTCGGGCCTCTAGTGTTTTAATAAGTAGAAGCATGTACATAGCAATCACGCTTTTTCCAAATAAAGCAGTGGTTTTCGACCTGTTTCATCTCATGGCACAAGTAAACTATTTACTGAAATTCAAAAAGTATATTATACCTTTTGCTGATCTGACCAAAAAAAAAAAAGGTACAATTTGGATTGATTTACTGGGAAAAATGATAGTAATTGATTTCCTTTTTGCTCCAAAGTGACTTTTTTAGTAAAGCAGGTGCCTACACTTGTATATGAGGATTTCTGGTACCAAGAATTAACCGATCAGATGCAATCTTATTAGGTGACCTGACCAATAAGATGCAACTCTGTTATATGACCTATATGTTTATGATTCAATAGAGGGAATTCACACCAGGTGGCTATTGTTGTGTTGGCTATTGTCATTTTTAAAAATTTGACAATCTCAGGGAAAAGAGGTCAGGGCCCCTGATTAAATAGTATTGCATGCTTTAAAAATTCTTGTGGCACTTCATTTGAAAAATTGCTGAAATAGAGGAGCAGAAAAAATAAGATGCAGATTAGCAATTTTTTTGAGGGAAGGAACAATTTCTTCACCAAATTATTATTTTTCAAATAATTGCGCTGTGATTCGATAATGTACTTGAGCGTTTAGCTTTCAGGATATTTGTGGATTCTTAGTGTCATGACTTTGCTAAATTAACCTTTTGGTAAGACTTTTCTCTGGTACCTCCAGAAACAGAATCTACTTGTTGCCTTTATTCCATTGAGGTGCTCTGTGCCTTTTTAAATGAATATTTTTATTGATTTCAGAGAGGAAGGGAGAGGGACAGAGAGATAGAAACACCAGTGATGAGAGAGAATCATTGATCGGCTGCCTCTTACACGCCCCACACTGGCATGTGCCCTGACCGGGAATCGAACCGTGACCTCCTAGTTCATAGGTTGACGCTCAATCACTGAGCCAGGCCGGCCAGGCTATCTTGTTAATCATTTTAAGGCTCTGCTCTGTCCCTGTCTCATTAAGAAAGACCTCCCCGTTTCTGCTAAACAAATCAGTCCCCTCCCAAACCTTGCTTAAAATTCACCTGCACTGTGAATTCCTTGTAGACTTTACTCAACCAGATTAGATTTCCTTGAACTTGAACTTCCTCTTCTGCACCGACATCCCTTATCTCCTGGAGGGTTAAATGAAAACCTGCATAAAGCATAGCTCTCTCCAGCCGACAGCCGTCCCCAGCAGCCAGCAATGCCCCCGCTGTCCTCCGCCACTGGCCCATGTGGGCCTATGTTGGGTTTGCCTGCATCGGGCCGGTTCCGTGAAATACAGGGCTCACTACGGAACAGAGATGCACAGGTGTGGGATGTAGGAGACACAGGGAAAATACACAGCCAGGGGTCAAAGGTGAGAGCACGCAGCCCACTGGCCGGGAACATGAGGGCAGTTTTCATGGAAAAGGTGACATTTGCTAAAAAAAAAGGAGCTTTTATGAGGGTTCCATAAAGGTAATGACCTGGTGGTCTGTGTACATCAGGGCCTGGTCCCGCGCCAGGCGTCGAGGGCATGCTTAATAAATATTTGTCAGATGGATGATGTGACCTCTAAAATCCATTTATTACTTGTCATTCCACTACTGTGACTCATATAAAGGTAAAATTATTTAAATGAGACACCTCTGCTTGCCGTTCGAGGCATGTCAATGAATTGTCAAGTGGGGTCGGATGGAGCAAAGGCGATGGAGTGTGAGGTGCTAAAACACCATGAAACTGCTCGGCCGGGGTGGGACCCTGTCAAGGTGACATGGCATCCGGCTGTAGCCGAGGTCACCTGGATGCGTCACCTGCAAACACAGGTGGAGCACAGACCCCGAGCCTGTATGTGTCTGCTCCGTGCCATTGGGGAACATTTGGGTCATTCATTTATTTTTTATTTATTTATTTTAATATATTTTTTTATTGATTTCAGAGAGGAAGGGAGAGGGAGACAGAGAGAGAAACATCAATGATGAGAGAGAATCATTGATCAGCTGCCTCCTTCCCCACCCCCCACTGGGGATCGAGCCAGCAACCCGGGCATGTGCCCTTGACTGGAATCGAACCCAGGACCCTTCAGTCTGCAGGCCAATGCTCTATCCACTGAGCCAAACCAGGGTGCTCACAATGTATCGAATATATAGGATCCTATATGTGTGTGGCCACTCCCTGCAAAGCTGTTTTAACTCCTAAATAGCCATATTTATACTTTTTCTCGCTTCCCTCACACCATGGGAGGCCTGTGAGCTATTGTAGGCTTCCCGTTATAGAAGAATAAGGACCTATATTAACTCGGAGAGAATCTAAGAAGGGAGCAGAGATGAGCTTCTGTTTTAAAAGAAAACATGAGCCCTAGCTGGTTTGGCTCAGTGGATAGAGCATTGGCCTGCAGACTCACGCACCCTGGGTTCGATTCCCGGTCAGGGCACGTGCCCGGGTTGCAAGCTCGATCCCCAGTGTAGGGCGTGCAGGAGGCAGCCGATCCATGATTCTCTCTCATCATGGATGTTTCTCTCTCTCTCCCTCTCCCTTCTTCTCTGAAATCAATAAACATGTAAAAACAACCACACTAAAGTGGACTCGCTCACGTGACAATTTACCACCTGCTTCTATGCCACCTGTGTGGTCCCGGGCACCGGGTTGCGTGTCAGTGCCAGCCTGTTAACGATGCCACTCTTGCAGCATCTGCAGGACCGCGGGCTCCCACGCGGCTTGCGGGGGAGACGGGCTCGCTCTCACCTCTCAGCCAGCACAGTGGCACCGTGAGGGAAGCCCGTGGCCTTGGTTCACTGGCCTCTGTCACGTCTGAGATCCCTGTGTCTCTGACCGATGTCTGTGTTTTCCTTCCAGGCAAGAGCGACCCGTTCTGCTTGTTGGAGTTGGGCAACGACCGGCTGCAGACGCACACCATCTACAAGACCCTCAACCCCGAGTGGAACAAAGTTTTCACGTTGTAAGTCCTTTAGCCTCTGGACCATCCGGGGGCATCTTTAAAAAAAAAGTTACCGATTTCAGAGAGGAAGGGAGAGGGAGAGAGAGACAGAAACATCAACGATGAGAGAGAATCATGGATCGGCCGCCTCCTGCCCGATCAGGGATCGAGCCTGAAACCCGGGCATGTGTCCTTGACCGGAATCGAACCCGGGACCCTTCAGTCCAGAGGCCAACGCTCTGTCCACTGAGCCAAACCAGCGAGGGCAGCAAACAGTGATTTTAGCCACTGATTTTTAAGTGAATTGTTCATTCATTTAAAAAGAATCTTAGTTTTGCTTTTCTCACTCGGAAGCTACTTCGAAATCACCATCCTTTTACCCTCCTCCTTCTTCTGTCTCCCATTCCCTCTTCATCCTGTTTCTTTAACGGCCCCACCCTGCGTGCACGCAGACACGGAAAATGTCACCTAGTAAGAAAGTTGGCTTTTTCTCGTATGGATGACTGAATCTGCTCTGATGGAAGGCTTGGGAATATCGTCAGTTTGATTTAATTTTTGGAGTTTAATTAAATGGTAGTTTTATACTCTGAGGACATGCAGACTTAATTAGTGAAACCGTGTTTTCAGATCTTCACGGAACCGACTCCACGTGTGTGTGTGTGTGTGTGTGTGTGTGTGTGTGTTTGTATGTGATCTGAGGTGTGTTTCTCGTTGCAGCCGTGTTAAAGACGTCCACGATGCTTTGGAAGTGACAGTGTTTGATGAGGACGGTGACAAACCCCCCGATTTCCTTGGAAAAGTCTCCATTCCCTTGCTGTCCGTAAGTTGCCTTTGTTAATACACAGTTTGTGAGTCATTGTGCGGTTGACAACTTTCTATGGTCTAAGCTGCTTCATCTTTTCAACCTGGGCCAGAAGAACACTTTAAACTCTAGCCGGAAACAACTGTTTTATTCCAGTAGTTTCAAATATAAAGTGACATAATTTTCTCTCTGTGTCAGTCCAATATGATTGAACCAACCAAACCGTTTTGACCTGCTTCTTTTTTTTTTCTTTTTTCTTAAATACGGTTTTACTGATTTCAGACAGGAAGGGAGTGGGGGTGAGAGAGATAGAAACATCAATAAGGAGAGAGAATCATTGATCGGCTGCCTCCTGCACGCCCCCTACTGGGGACCGAGCCCACAACCCGGTTATGTGCCCCGACCAGGAATTGAAACCATGACCTCCTGGTTCATAGGTCTGTGTTCAACCACTGAGCCACGCGGGTCAGGCAAGGTGTGGCTGTTTCTATTCAGATTGATTTCCAATTCCTTGATCAATAAATTGGGAAAGTGATCAGCTCCTCAGAGAGTCTATGAGGGCTCTTCCTGCAGCACACGCTCTCCAACTGAACTGATTCTCTACCTAACGTCTAGATCAGTGGTCGGCAAACTGCGGCCCCTTGAGTGTGGCTCTTCCACAAAGTACCACGTGTGGGCGTACACGTATAGTGCGATTGAAACTTCGTGGCCACACTCAACGTGCCAAAGAGCCGCATGTGGCTCGCGAGCCGCAGTTTGCCGACCACTGGTCTAGATATAATTCTAATTAAAAAATTCCAAAACGCTAAGTATCTCTAACAGGAAACATTTTATTCCTTAAATCTTCTGATCGATAACATAGTAAATATGCGTTGGAAAATAGTATACCCATTGGAGAGTTTTAAAACATTTCCAGGCTAGACACCACCTCCTAATAATTATCTGATTTAGTAGGTTTATTTAACATGTCTATTCTCAACTAAGCGGTCCTAATTCTGTCCTGAAAATCCGGCTGGATTTTTCTCATCGATCTAGGTCATTCCTTTTTATTTAAATACTAGAGGCCCGATGCACGAATTTCGTGCAATGGATTTGGCCTCCGAAGCCCTGGCCGACCCTCACAGCCCCTCGCAGCCTCGTCCAGCCTTTGCAGCCCCAGCTTCATCCTGAAGGTCGTCCAAAAGGACATCTGGAAGGTCGCTCGGCTGTTCAGTCTAATTAGCATATTAGCTCTTTATTATATAGGATATGTTTACCCTTTCAGAATTATCTTATGGACCAACCTAGGAAGGCTTTGAGAATCAGATTTCTGTAAAATAAGAAGAGCATCTCTTTATTATTATTTCCGAATGTTTGCGGCATGATGCGGTCCTACATTTCGAAACAAATTGTAATTCTCAGTGCAATCCATGCCAGCATGTGAATCTGTAATCAGACGCACGCCTCACGCAGCCTTAGCTTTCTCTGTGAATCCGTGTGCGCAGTCGCAAGCTGCACCAGCAACAGCTTCACTTAATTAGTTTTATGGGACAGATTTCCTGTAATTGCTCCTCTCGAATAGTAAATGTCCATGCAAGTCCCCATTTGCATTTCCAATCGCGTGTTTGCCCACGGTGCACCTGTGATGAGATTTGCACATTAGAATGGACACATTTACACCATCATTTTGTTTTGCGGTTAATGCTGAAATCTTGGCCGTTAAAATAAATAACATTGATCTTTTACTTTGTGTGAATACTCATATATGGGAAACTAAATTTAAAAAAATATTAAAAGTAGTCCCAAGGCAGGGTTCGCATGGTGATTTTTGAACACAAATGTTCAGCTCTCCTCCTTGCCTAATTTTGGTTCAATATGTCCATTGAAATACTTAAAGGAAGATATACAATAAGGCATATTTCTCTCTTGGCCCTGCAAACTGTGAGCGTAGCTTTGACATGCTGGAGTTACCACGAAACATATGTAATATATATGGTGTGTGTAGTTTATAGGGTGGATGATATGTGGATAGGATAGACAGCTAAGGGAGGGAGATGAATAATCAGTAGGATTTCTTTAATGTCCTATAACAAGAAGATGGTGTGTATGAATCTCAACGTAGCAAACATGATGGTAAATGTTGAATGGGTTAAACTTCTCTATTAGATGGAAAAACCTCTTACAGTGACTCAAAGAGGAAACCTAACTGCTATATCTTTGGAACACCTCGACATGGTAACACAGAAATGGGTGAACAAAAGCAGTGACGTAACTGTAAATACAAGTCAGACATACAGAGGAGGCTGTTTTATGGGTTCAAAGAGCCAATGTCAGTATCAATAAGGTTATAACACACTTGAATGGCTATGTCAGCGGTTCTCAACCTGTGGGTCGCGACCCCTTTGGGGGTCTAACGACCCTTTCACAGGGGTCGCCTAAGACTTTCGGAAAACATATATATAATTACATATTGTTTTTGTGATTAATCACTATGCTTTAATGATGTTCAATGTGTAACAATGAAAATACATCCTGCCTATCAGATATTTACATGATGATTCATAACAGTAGCAACATTACAGTTATGAAGTAGCAACGAAAATAATTTTATGGTTGGGGGTCATCACATCATGAGGAACTGTATTAAAGGGTCGCGGCATAAGGAAGGTTGAGAACCACTGGTCTATGTGAATGATTTTGCATAGAAATGTGCGCGCGCGCGCGCGCGTGTGTGTGTGTGTGTGTGTGTCTGGTATTAGAAATACAGGAAATATTACAAAATTAGAATCACAAAATGATCACACATATGATCTATTCAGTTTTAAAAATATCAGAAGGAAAAAATATATAAGGCTGTGATATTTCTTGAAAGCCCAAATGTTTGAAAGTCCAAGTTGCACAGTGTGTGTTAATAGCGAAAGGTCCCCCCACACCATCTCACAGCTACTGAATTTCTGGGGATGAGACCCTGTAGTCTCCTTTAAAATAAATAAATATATATATATGTGTGTGTGTGTGTGTGTGTGTGTGTGTAAATATATATATTTTTATTTCAGAGAGGAAGAGAGAGGGAGAGGGAGATAGAAACATCCATGATAAGAGAGAATCATTGATCGGCTGCCTCCTGCACACCCCACACTGGGGATCAAACCCACAACCCTAGTATGTGCCCTGTTTGGGAATCAAACTGTGACCTCCTGCTTCATAGGTTGATGCTCTACCACTGAGCCATGTCGGCCGGGCTGCAGTCTCCTTTTCTAGCAAGTTCTCCGATGCATTTTAGGTGTACCAAAGTGATTCTTCTCCAACTTTAGAGACTAAGCAGTGAGCTTCATTCATGCATGTGTGTGCATACACACACGTAAATATATAAAATATTCTGATCAAATTCCCATTGAACATGTTCATGTATTGATCATGTTGCAGGTCCCAAATGCCTCAATAAAAAGAGACTTTACTGTGATCACAGTGCTAGGAAAATAGAAGTTAATAACAAAAGTGAAACAAGTATCAAAACAATTGGTGGGGGGGAAAAATCCCAAGTAGCTCATGTAGATACCAAAACTGCAGCTCTAGAAAGGAACAGTGCAATAGTACATTTAAAAACCGTGGAGAATTACCTTGGGAAAGGAAAGAGGACTTAGTAATTCCACAAGGGTTCCTAAAGGCTATCTAGGTATGTTCCCTTGGGGATAATACACCAAACTTTCCAAGGAATATGTATGTTTAGGTATCCATGTTATATTTCACTTCAATAATGAATGAAAGTCCGGTCCTTCTAATTTCAGATTTCATTCCAAGCAATTTAAAAAATAACCCGATTGCATTATGTCCCACTTGGAAATGAATGTTTTCTCCTCGAACAAATAAAAAGATAACAATGAAAAAAAAAATACCCCAAAACCATGGAGAAGGGCCAAACGTATTATTCAGAGGAAATTCTTAACTTGAATGTTTTCATAATTAAACAACAAAGGTTGAAAATCATTTAAGCATCTCAACAAAAGGAAATAAAACTAAGGACATTAGAAAGGAATTAATGAACATTAAAAAGTGAGCAACATGGAAAATATGTACATGGTGTATTTGACAAATCCCAGTAATTACTTCTGTAAAATGTAATTCAACAGGCAAGCCATTTACAAGGCTATGACAAAAAGAGAAAAACACATTATGAAAGAACAAGAAATATAAGGATTATGAAAGAAATATAGGAATTATGAAAGAACAAGAAATATAGGGATCACTATGAATAACACACCTAAATTTTATTGAGGAGTATGAGTGGAAACTTAAAAAAAAAAAAGAATAATATCACCAACATAGAAAAAGTGTGTCTTTTTCATCAATAAAGAAAAGACGTGTCTACACAGCAGAAACGTTAATTTGAAGAGGTAGGGATCAGAACAGTTAAACTAATAATCATATGAATGGCTTGTGCTTTATTCACATGAGATTATGATTATTAAGAGAATAGACGATGAAGCAGGCCACTTGGATTGGCACCTGGTCTTTTTCCTTAACGGGCTGTGTGATTTTTTAGGTTGCTAAACCTCTCTGTTTCTATTTCCTCCTTGATGAGATGAAGATAATTATCATGATACTTACGTTGGAGGTTTGGGGTGAGGATTTACATAGTTTGGCCAATGTAAAGTGATTGCGGTATAGCATCCCGTAAGCACTTACAGTGTAAGCTATCACTTCCATCACCTTTACATCAAATCATTAAATTAGTTTAAGCAGTCAGATTAACACCTATAGTAAAGATTTTTCACTAGGAGTGATCACTAAGTGTAGGAAAAAACTCGCCCAACAGGTGTGGCTCAGTGGTTGAGCGTCGACCTATGAACCAGGAGGTCATGGTTCAATTCCCGGTCAGGGCACATGCCCAGGTTGCGGGCTCGATCCTCAGTGAGGGGCGTGCAGGAGGCAGCCGATCCATGATTCTCTCTCATCATTGATGTTTCCATCTCTCTTTCTCCCTCCCCCTTCCTTTTTGAAATCAATACAAATATATTTTAAAAAGAAAAAAGGACTCTCAAACACTATTAGAGAGAGCATGACTTGGTACAAGCCTTGTAGAAGGCACCTTGATAAAATGGATTAAAATGTAACATACACGTATCTTGGAGCATTTGTATTCTGGGTATCTATTGTAGAGCAGCATCTGAGACTTGAAGAGATATAATTACCCCTGGCCACACAGATGCTAAATGCCAGACGTGGGAATTGAATCTAAGTCTGTCTGGTCTCCCAGTCCTACCACGGCCCACTGTTAATAAACTTAGGAGAGAAAATGTTCAATCTCATTAGTTATAAAAAGAGTAGATATTAAAACAACCTGAGGCCTTTTTATTCCTATGAAATTGCTGTATATGAAATAAAGATGCCCAGTGTTGTAAGGAAATGGCTGGTTTGGTTCACAGAGGCTAGGAGTATAAATTGATACAGCGCTGTAGGAGGGAAAAGCCATCAACATAGATATATCCTGTGAGTCAGCAATTCCACCTCTAGGGATTTATTTTGGGACATGCATAACTCCTCTGTTCTTCAGTTACCTAACCTGTAAAATGTGAATTTAAAAAGTTTATATATCTCAGAGGTGGGTGTGAAATAATCAGGGAAAACAGTGACAAGTACACAGAAATGGCTTGTGAATGACATCTAGTTTTCAGTCTTATGTTAAGGTATATATTTTCACTCTCTTATCTTTTGAATTTAAAAAATAATATAAGACACTGGGAGCATGTGCCGGGGGGTAGGGGAGGCCAGGGGAAGATCAATGGGGAAAAAAAGGAGACATATGTACTACTATTTGTAATACTTTAAACAAAATAAAATTTTTAAAAAAGATCATATTCATGAACTATCTACATTCCATTTCTTGGACTCTATCCTAGAAAATGTTTGATCAAAATACAGAAAATCATTTATGCATAAAAAATATATGGGAAACATTCCCCATTGTAATAATAGGTTATTATTTTCAGTGTTTAATTATAATACTAAATATTGAAACACTTGGATCTATTCCTAAACCCAGCCTATTCCACATACAAAGTAGCATATTTCCTCTTCCCCTTATTCGCGACCTTTCCCCCAAAGATTTTCCTTCTAGCAGCCAGCCAGAAAGAGTGGAATCAACAGGAAAATTCAGAAAGTGTGTGGATTATTTATATTTTGAATATTATATAGCACTTTAAAGAAATGAGGCAGATCCATAGACTACTATAAACTTTTAAATCTGAATCATATTGACAGATGCTAAAATGAAGTTGCAGAGTCCATATAGTTTATGAATGTAAGGTCTCAATAAAAACTTAGGAAGGATCTGTACCAAATTTCAGTCTAGTTTCCATCTAGGGGGAAGAACTCTGGAAGTTCAGAGAAACTTCCATTTTTTAGTTTTGGAAGTTCAGAGAAACATTCATTTTTTTTTCTGTTATTTTTCAAACTTTAAAAAAAATGTTTCAACTTGTAATTTATATATTTTAAGGTAATATGATATTCAAGTGCCAAACAGGAATAGCCTTAATTATATCTGAGGCCTTTTTATTACTGCAAAATTGCTGTGTGTTAAATAAAAAGGCCCAGCGTTACAAGGAAATGGACAGTCTGATTACTTTAATGTCCCTAGGTGGATCCTGTGTTTTGCTGACACAATGTTAGGACATTGAGAAAGAGGAAACGATCATTTACCAAATTAAAAAAACATGCACACACACCAAAAAAAAACAACACAAAAAAACTTCTTTTATTATAAAATATTTCTTTTTATACTGATACCTCTTGTTCTTCTGTTTGACCTCCCCTGACCCTTAAGAAATCATGGAAATTTTAAGATAACAGCGTACAATGCCTGCGGGTCCAGGCAGCGCTCACTTGGACGCCGGTCAGCTTGGCACACGGTCACGCCGCTTTTGTATTTATTTCTTTCAACTTTCACACCCACAATTTATTAAGTGAGACCGTGGACACAAGAGGAAGCTCCGGATCCTGTTTGGAACCCGTTTCGGAAGGAAACCAGGTCTTTATGGGGCACCCCCTTCCTCTTCGCCGCTGGCCAGGAAAGCCATCTCTCCGTTGAGGACCTATTCAATCTGGAGAGGTGGGGTGACTTCGGGAAGGAAGGTGACCTCTCCCTTGTAAAGTGGAATGGCTCTGCTTCCCGCCGTGACTTACTCAACTCATTTCCACCGCTGTTTATAAGAACCCTGTGCTGGGCACTTGGAGTGACAGCAATAGTCATTTAAAATATGGCTTGGCCCGGCCGGCGTGGCTCAGTGGTGGAGCATCGACCTATGAACCAGGAGGTCACAGTTCCATTCCCGGTCAGGGCACAGGCCCGGGTTGCGGGCTCCATCCCCAGTAGGGGGCGTGCAGGAGGCAGCCGATTCATGATTCTCTGTCCTCATTTCCCTTAATGTTGACAGCTTTTATGCCCATGATGCACTGGTCAAAACTAAACAACAACGAGAAAGAGAAGAACAACAACAAAAACTAAAATTCCATAGCACCTGACAGTGTCCGTTTCTGTTAACTAACCTGTGGCCTTTGTTTGAATGCCACCAGCTTTTCCAATGATGTCCTTGTTCTGTTCCAGCGTCCAGCTCAGAGGACCTGCCACACTTGGCATTTAGTCGTCTTATCTCCAAAGTCTTCCGATTTGTGACAGTTCCCAAGAGTTTCCGTTTTTCCCATGACCTTGGCCGTCTTGAGGAATACTGGCCAGGGATTTTGTAGAATATTTATCTTGTTTTAATAAATAGAAATGTATAACCTCTGAGATTTTTGAAGGAAAGCCCATGGAGATGCCGTCATCATCTAGGCCACTAATTTTCCATTTAGATCAGCAGTATCAACCTGGTAATTGTTACTTTAGCTTTTAATCAGCTATAAGAGCACTCTATGATGAAAAGTTGATTTAAGATGATGTTAATATTTGCCTAACAGGTGTTTCATCTGTGTGTGCATCTTGCATCCTCAACTCTGTGAGTTTGTTTAGTGTAAACCCCAGCAAACGTTTGTACTTTATCTATCGCTTACGACAGATTCGAGATGGACAAACGAATTGCTACGTATTGAAGAATAAAGATTTAGAACAAGCTTTTAAAGGAGTTATTTACTTGGAGATGGACCTCATCTATAATCCGGTAAGTCTAACTGGGCCATATACCTAATGGGGAAGGTGGCCAGCCTAGAGAGACTCAAATCCGTGTAAAATGTTTTAGAATGTTTGCACAGAGGGAGAGGGAAGGAGAGAGGGAAAGAGAGAGAGAAAGAGAACAGTGTTTTAAAACTCAACCATTGCCCGGCCAGTGTGGCTCAGTGGTTGATCGTCCACCTATGAACCAGGAGGTCACGGTTCGATTCCCAGTCAGGGCACATGCCTAGGTAGCGGGATTGATCCCCAGGTGGGGCGTGCAGGAGGCAGCCGATCCATGGTTCTCTCTCATCATTGATGTTTCTCTCTCTCTCTCCCTCTCCCTTCCTCTTTGAAATCAACAAAAATATATTTAAAACAAACAACAACAAAAAACCCTTCAGCCATCAAATCCATGCTGGACACTCCAGTTCTCAACTGGTATTCCTCCTGTTTTTCCAGATCATGGAGAGGAAATGAGATTTTTCTGTACAAAATAGGTTTATAACCCAGAAGCTCGTTTTCGCATGCCAGGTATGACTGGTGAAAACAGCTCAAAACTGTGACGTGAAGGGAAGTTTTCCTTTTCAGAGACTTTAGCCTGAGAACTTCATGAAGCTGATCTCTGCGGTGGTTTAAAATACCTCCATTGGTTTGCAGACATCCTGTCACCTTCCAAGACCAGATCTGGTCTCCTCCACCCAAGTGAAGTTCATGCAATGAGACCCTCCCACACCCCCACACATGCACACGCACACGCACACGCACACACATGCAGAGCGCAGGGGGACCACCATTCTCCGCTCCCCGCCAGGGCCTTAGCGGTAAAAGAGATTGGTTTCCCGGTCCTTCCGGTTCATGAAGAAGAGGAGGGGAGGAATGAAATCCACAGAAATGCCTCCCTTTTTAACAAAGATGTCTTTCTAGGTCAAAGCCAGTATCAGGACCTTTACGCCCAGGGAAAAGCGCTTTGTGGAAGACAGCCGCAAGCTGTCCAAAAAGGTAGGTCTCTGTGGTGAGCGGGCTTATGGGTGCACTCAGCATGCGGGACCTGGAGTGCTGGCTGTCATTATATGCTCGCATCCCCTCTCCCTCCTCCTCCTCCTTTTCTTTTCTGCCCTCCCTCTCTCTTTTTTTAAAAATATATTTTATTGATTTTTTACATAGAGGAAGGGAGAGGGATAGAGAGTTAGAAACATGGATGAGAGAGAAACATCGATCAGATGCCTCCTGCACTCCCCCTACTGGGGATGTGCCTGCAACTAAAGTACATGCCCCTGACCGGAATCGAACCTAAGACCCTTCAGTCCCCAGGCTGACCCTCTATCCACTGAGCTAAACCGGTCAGGGCTGCTCTCTCTCTCTCTCTCTCTCTCTCTCTCTCTATATATATATATATATATATATATCTTTACCTTTATCACCATCTCTACCTCTATCTCTACCTCTATCTCTATCTCTATCTCTACCTCTCTATCTCTATCTCTATCATCTCTATCTTTACCTCTATCACCATCTCTATCTCTATCTCTATCTCTACCTCTATCACTACCTCTATCTCTACCTCTCTATCTCTATCTCTATCTCTATCTCTATCTCTATCTCTATCTCTATCATCTCTATCTTTACCTCTATCTCTATCTCTATCTTTATCTCTGTCTCTGTCTCTATTTCTACCTCTATCACCATCTCTATCTCTACCTCTAGCTCTACACCTCTATATCTATCTCTCTCTCTATCTCTATATCTATCTCTCTCTCTTCTATAATTCTCAGTCCCCACCTCTCCACTCCTTTCTCCTTCCCCCCCCTTCTCTCCCAAAACAAGGACTTCAGTCAGCTTAATAAGCAGGGAAAGACCCAGCCGACATCTGTTGGATAAGATAGAAGGTGTCAGCCCTCCATTAACCTCCTGAATCATCCTATGAGCAGAATTCCTAGCCTCAGGCCCCCGTACGCGTTCCCCAGATCTGCGTGCCCTGCCCACCTTCCTCTAACCACAGCCATGTCAGAGTCTCAGGGAGATATTCTGGCCTTTCCAGTCATAAAGAAATGAACCCAGTGGATCTTTAGAGACCTCTAGCCTGGGACTCCCACAGCTTCTACCACGTTCGTATTGTCCGAATTTGGGGGGGCGCTGCCACTTCCCCTCATTCAGAATGGCCTGTCTCTCTGTCTGTCTGTTGCCCTGAATGCTTCTGTCCTCACCTCAACCAAAAGTGAGGCCCGCTCGGAGCCCAGGAGGGGAAGTGGCACGTTCTTTGTCAGGCGTGACTCTCCCGCTTATCTCCGGGCCCCTCCCTGTCCTGTGCAGACAACCTTCGGGGTTTCGCTCTGTCCCTATTGTCCCTCTGTCGTTGTGCAAAAAGAACAAAGTGTCCCCTTTTCCAAGTATTTATTACTTCCCCCGCGTCCTGTGGGGTGAGCAGCTGTGGATGACATAAAGCCGTTACATAGAAAGGGCGTCTGATCATCCTTCTGTTTCCCATGAACTTCTGGGCGCGCTCGGGCCAGGCCCCCGCCACCCTCGGGAGGGAACGTCCCAGTGCTTTGCTTCGTCTGCAGTAACACGGGCTGTCGTGTTTACTTGGTGTCATCGGAGGCGACCTCTTATTTTTTTATTTTTATTAGTATTAGTATTGCCTGTTGGGCTCTGTGTACTTGAAAGTTAAACCCTGAGGTGGGGTAGCTGCTTTGGCAAACAGACTGAAATGAATCCGCCTGCAACTGGGAGAAAAGACATTTCCTTTGCCAAACAGGGACCACCGCGTGGTGGGGTGGCTTAGGGCTCTGAGAGCGCCAGCGGGGTGGGGCTGGGGTCCTGGGGTCCTGGGGTCTGATAGGGTCCTCCCCAGATGCCTCTCACCACTAGGTGTCCCCTCGTTCTCATAAGATCGGAACTTGTGCTTCTGATGCAAATGCTTAAAAGCACTTAACTATGTGACAAGCACTTGCAACTGCTTTCATTCTCTCCACAGTCAAGATTGGTACGTGGCCTAAGAGAGAGGTTAAGAAACCAGCCCAAGGTCACACAGCTGGGAGATGGGAAAACTGCATTCCTTTGCCAGAGCTAGCCTTCCCTGTAGACTTTTTAAAAAAATTGATTTCAGAGAGGAAGGGAGAGAGATAGAGAGAAACATCAATGATGAGAGAGAATCATGAATCAGCTGCCTCCTGCACGTCCCCTGTTGGGGGGGGATCAAGCCCGCAACCCGGGCATGTGCCCTTGGCCGGAATCGAACCTGGGGCCCTTAAGTCCGCAGGCCAACCCTCTATCCACTGAGCCAAACCAGCTAGGGCTCCTATAGACTTTTTCTTCTGGTCTCGATTAGTTAAAATACCTGTACATTTCTACTATAAATTGTCCCTTTCATTCTAAATTAAATAGGTGGGCATCTTCAGTCCACTGGTTCCCACTTTCTGTCTTTCTGTCTCTCTCTCTCTTACACACAGACACACACACACTCACACCCCCCAGATGCCTGGCTTCTGTCATTTTTTCCAGCTCAGTTTGGTGATGAACACGATTCAAACAGCTCCTCCTCCATCAAAGGTGCCATCAAATGCATCGCGTTCTCTTCTCCTCTCTGGATGATCGGACTTTAAAAAGAATTTTAGAAGAAGTACGAGGACTTTTTCCCTCTGTGTTTTAATGGGCAGCAATACAGAATACGATGGAGACGGCCAGGCTGCCTGATCCACAGCGAATATGGGGAGCATTCAGATCTCCTTCTCTGTTTCCCGTGTCTTCCCCCCAGATCTTATCCAGAGATGTGGACCGCGTGAAAAGGATCACCATGGCGATATGGAATACACTCCAGTTCCTGAAAAGCTGCTTCCAGTGGGAGTCCACGCTGAGGAGCGCCATCGCGTTTGTGGTGAGCGGCCTCTTTCAGGCTCATGTTGTTGGGTTTCCGAGGCCCAAGTTCACGTGCAGAACACGGGCTTTACACGGAACCTCGTAACAGTTCACACCTGGAAGGAAACGGAAAAACCTCAATGGGCCCTGGCCGGTGTGGCTCAGTGGTTAGAGCGTCGGCCTGCGGACCGAAGGGTCCCAGGTTCGATTCCGGTCAAGGGCACGTACCTCGGTCGCATGTTGGGTTCCTCTTCAGCCTCTCTACCTCCACTTCCTACCCGAGTTCTCTTACAAACTTTCCGTGGAATGTTCTGGGCAAAAAAAAGGAAAGTCAACACCATTGGTGGCTTCTTCCAGCGGGCACCCCGGCCGGCCTCTGCCAGGAGCAGAGCGTTTCCTCTTTCTTGAGCTTCGTTTCTGGCACCGGGAGGTGTAGCAAAACAGCTCTGTTGCCCGGGGTCATGCGGGAGAATGACAGCAATGATTAATGGGCTGCCAGGCTGATCTGAGGAAAGATTATACCCCAGGAGGAGGACCAGGTTGTCTTGTGTGGGGACTTCTGGTGGGGAGCGGGGCTTGGACGGAGATGGGGGTGGTGCATGGTCTGTTCCCTCTGCCGGGCCGTTCCCTGTGCAGATGCAGGCTGCCATGTCGCCCTCAAATCTCGGGGCCCTGCAGGACAGAAGATAAAGGGGTACTCTTCGTGTTGGGCTCCAGATTGTGATTTTGCAAGGATCCCTGGGTTCACGCGACTGCGGGAGGCCCCACTGTATTGGGGGGTGGGTAGTTTCCATTATTGAAAAAAAGTTCAGAGTCAAGTAGGAATGATGCAGGCATAACCTCTCTCTCTGGGTTGTGCTGAAGGTACTGGGGTGGAAAGTGCTCACTTAAACACGCTTAGTTTTCAGTTTTAAATATATATATTTTTTGATTGCAGAGAGGGAGAGAGGGAGAGGGAGAGAGAGACACATCAATGATGACAGAGAATCATTGGCTGGCTGCCTCATGCACACCCCACACTGGGGATCAAGCCCACAAGCCAGGCATGTGCCCTGACCAGGAATGGAACTGTGACCTCCTAGTTCATAGGTTGATGCTCAACCACTGAGCCACACTGGCCTGGCTGGAGGCCTTTCTATACTAGAAACTAGAGGCCCGGTGCATGAAATTCGTGCATGGGTAGGGTCCCTAGGCCTGGCTAGCGATCAGGACTGATTTGTGGGGCAATCGGAGGGCCCCCCCCATCTGGCACCCGCCTTGGCTGGCCTGTGGCATGCGGGCTGGGGACAGCTCCTGTGTTGAGCGTCTACCCCCTGGTGGTCAGTGCACATCATAGCGACTGGTCGTTCTGCAAAATGGTTGATTTGCATATTAGGCTTTCATTATATAGGATTGGCTGCGGTGTGTAAGGGTTCCCTGCACAGGTGTGAAGAGGACCCTTTGGGTGAAGCAGTCCCCAGGGGGCTTTTCCATCTCCTCCAGTTCCTGGGAGTCCCACTAGCCCCACACGCTAAGGGCAAAGGTGTAGGAATTTTGTTCTCCCTTCTGTTTTGTCAGATAACATGAAAGAGCCTGTTCATATCATGTTAAGGTCTCTGTTTTCAGATGACACAAAGCAAGAATGTTACAGGATCACGTTTAGTATATTCTGGCTGTGAATTTTAAAGACTTTATGAAAGCAAACCATCCGTCTTCTAGATTCCTTTGGATGTGTGTATGAATATATCATATCTTGATGAAAGCAGGCATTGAAGAAAAGCAGTCTGTTAAGACCTAGCCCACGTGGTGGCCGGTCAGAAGTGGATGGGCCGACATGAAATAACTTTTATCTTGTTGGACGGTCCAAGCATTAACCTCCCCTACCATGGGGTCAGTCCTACCCCCATAGACATTGGGGTCGTATTCCCAATAGTAAGCGAAGAAAGTTCGCTTTAATTCTCTTTAATACACTACAAGTGTGGATGTTGCTGTATGCTGTTGAATTCTTTGTTAGTGTAAGAAATTAAATTTGGGCTTTCTTCGAGTGGCCAGAGCATTCCAAACCATGCTTCTGCTGGCTCAGTATTTTTGTTAGAGCGATGATGAGAAATCTTGCTCATTAGGTTTTTTAAGTCTTTCTCTTTCATCTATGTTTTCTAGATATTTTTATGTCCTTTTCTGAGCTTTATTGGTTTGGTATAAAATATATACCAAATATATACACACATATATATATACACGTACACACACACACACACACACACACACACACACATATATATGAATTGAATTTGTTCTCAAAAGGTAATGTTGCATTGTGATATGGGCATTATAGAATCAATTATATCTGTGGGTGTTTGGGTTTGGTTTGGTTTTCTATTGGGTACTTATATTTCTCACACCCCGATATTATATGTTAAAAGACCCAAAGAGATATTATGGCATAAATGGATTAATTTTTTCATAGGACACTACAGCCTTCATTTGACAGATGGCATCCTCAGAAGATTATTTAAAACAGCAAAGGCCCCCTCATGCTGCAGAAAAGGGCTGCGTTTGTGGAGTTGGCTGTCCTGCCAGTCCCGCAGGCCCACACCTATTGCAGCCAGGGAGGCCAGTCTGCGGGGCATTGATAGATTCCTTGTTTTATTAAATTTTTTCCTGGACGTTTGATGTTAAGAAGTAATCTAAATCGACCATATATCAATGGGCATCTTCATAAAGCTGGGCTTCTCACATCTGTGACTTTTCCCTGAATGTTTTGAGTGCAGAAAAATGAAGAACGTCTTCTTCAGAGTTGACAGGGCCTGTAATATGATGCTTAATTTAAAGCATCAATCACGCCCCCCCCCACTCAGCCCAATAAAGTTAAAAATACAATTCTCGACTTTCTTAGTGATATCCCATATTTAGCATATACAGAAATCTTCGTGTGTAGAGATCCCAGAATTTTGAGAAATGATTTCATATTAAACTTAGCCCTAGCTGATTCGGCTTGGTGGATAGAGCATTGGCCTGTCCAGGGTTCAATTCCGGTCAGGGCACATGCCCGGGTTGTGGGCTTGGTCCCCAGTAGGGGGCGTGCAGGAGGCAGTTGATCAGTGATTCTCTCTCGTCATTGATGTTTCTATCTCTCTCTCCCTTCCCCTCTGAAATCAATGAAAAAAATATTTTAAAAAATAAAAGCAGGAGCAGCAATAACAGAACTAACCCTTCCAACACACACACACACACACACACACACACACACACACGCATGCACACGCACACACACACAAGCAGAGGGCATTTGGGAAACAAAAACATTTCTCGGTGGAAAATCTTGTGAGTACAGTTTAGGAACAATTTTAATATGAAATCTTAAGGATCGCTTGTCTAGGATCCCTTCCATGGCCCAAGGAACATTAATGACAACTACATTGAAAATCTGTTTCCAAATGGACTATTAACATAGTGCTGGTCAAATTTATTTTTTAAGCCTTAGATATTTGTGGGTTAGCTGTGTCTAAAAAATGTACCTTTTCTTTAAGTCCTATCACCAGTGTATTCACAACTAGATGTACCTGCCTTTGATTAAATTTCAGCGGCTGTTTCTCCGTCCACCGGAAGTCACAGTCACATGTGCAAAGCAGACCTCACTGTCTGTTTGGTAGGTGTTTGTGCAGTTGTAGCTCAAAGACTCACAGGATTTCCCTGAAGCTGAAAAAAGTTACAATAATCACTTTTCCTGGAGGAGGAGATTTTTTTTTTTTTATTTCAGAGAGGAATGGAGAGGTGGGGAGAGATAGAAACATCAATGATGAGAGACAATCATCTATTGGCTGCCTCCTGCACACCCCCACTAAGGATCGAGCCCACAACCCAGGCATGTGCCCTGACCAGGAATGGAACAGTGACCTCCTGGTTCATAGGTCAAGGGTCAACCACTGAGCCATGCCGGCTGGGAAGATAACCACTGAGCCATGCCGGCTGGGAAGATATATATATACATACTTTAAATACATTTATATCGATTTCAGAGAGAAAGGGGGAGAGAGAGAGAGAGAGAGTCATTGATCAGCTGCCTCCTGCACGCCCCCCACTGAGGATCGAGCCCACAACCTGGGCATGCGACCTTGACCAGAATCAAACCCAGGACCCTTCAGTCCATAGGCCGATACTCTATCCACTGAACCAAACCGGCTAGGGCTAAATATTTTTAAATGCATACCTATATATGCTAATATGCAAAATATATAAATACATAAAATGCTTAAACTATTTGACAGCTTATTATTTGATTTATTTAACATTTCAGATGATTTCCCAAACTTTCCTTTCCACAAAGGATCACATTATATACTTTTCAAAATATGTTAAAGGTTTTTCTCAGCAGTTTTTTCTACGAACAAACCATTATTGCAAATTGTGGTTATAATTTTTACAACATAATTGCACCTTCCATTGACAACTTCTCAGGCATTAACTAATTATGCCATTTAATAAAATTACAGTAATTGCATTAAAAGACTATCTGTTGAAAATGTAAAAGGAGAGTCTTACCTAGTTGAGCATATTTTCGTGTTTATATTTTCAGCTCCATAATTGAGTTTTACTTCCGGACAGAATCATGGCTCTGCTGAGTAAAATCGGTTGGCATTTTGGGAGCGTCTTGATTTTGACTAGCAAGCGTTAGATCTTTATTTTATTTTAACCCCGGATTTTTTAATCCTAGGTACATGCCGATCTTCACATGGCCCCGTTAGATAAGAGGTGAATGGTTAATGCCCCGTTGTGTGCTGTAGGTCCAGCCCTGTATGGGAACCCTCTGTCACAATCATGCCAACCTGAGTTTTCTGTTGGGATGCCAGCACACTTTCTGCTTTCTGTGCGTGGTCTGGTGAGGAGCCATGGCCTTCTGCAGATTCCAGTGGATTCATTCAGTCTGGTTCTGCTGTGCAGAGAATTGCGACTATTGATCTGAACTTGATCCTGATGTTGAGATCTTAAATGAAGAGAAGACTCCTGGGAAGTCATGCCATTCCTTGACCCAGCCAATGC